TAAGACAAGTTTTTTGTTTGTTTGTTTGTTTGTTTGTTTAAGATGGAAAGGCAAAAGTATGTTTGTATTAAAGAAAGAAAAATTGATAATTTGGGAAAGGGGATTAAAAATTACTAAAATGGTGCCTTTGAGTAGAGAAATGGATGAGATTTATTTGAAAGTGTAGGTTTCAGCCTAGAGATTATAGCTTACAAATGGAAGAGAACATAAGAATACAGATTGCAGAGATGAATAGATGGGATGTTGAGTTGTGAAAGCTTTCCTTTGATTGCGTCCATTTTCTCAGTGTAGTAGGAAGCAAGAGCAAAAGTTTGAAGTGAAAATAAAAAAAAAGTGTTAAAGGTTGGAATATAGAGGAGTAGGTTTAAAATATTATTCTAGGAGAATGGGAGAGGGCATGGACCAGAAAGCTGTAGTATGGTCACTAAGGAATCCAATTCAGTCTACTAGCCATGAATTTGAAGTTAAATCACTCGGCATGGTTTTATCTTTTTCAACCAGGATTAGTTGCACAAGTCCAGGTATGGATTAAATGGGAAGTTGTAAATAAATGGTGTTTTAGGTTTTCTCATCTCCTTTTGCAGATTGCCTGCATTGTCAAAGTTGGAGACAATGAAAAATATACAAGTTCTGGTTCGTCCTCATGCATTTCGGTTTTGCTTCTTTTTCTCCCCTTCAAGCTTTTCCTCCCAATAGTTGGCCCTGTTGACCTATAGTGACGGTTAGGCACCCTCAGACCCAGAGACTAGAGCAGTGATGGCGAACCTTTTGAGCTCGGTGTGTCAGCATTTTGAAAAACCCTAACTTAACTCTGATGCCGTGTCACATATAGAAATTTTTTGATATTTGCAACCATAGTAAAACAAAGATTTATATTTTTGATATTTATTTTATATATTGAAATGTCATTTAACAAAGAAAAATCAACCAGAAAATGAGTTCGCATGTCACCTCTGACACGCATGTCATAGGTTCGCCATCACTGGACTAGAGCCTTCCATAGACTCCTTCAACAAATGTGTAAGTTTGAATCCATATAATAAATCCCTTTGTTCCATAGTGTTTCTGTTTACCTAATTGAGCCTCAACTTATATAGGGTGAAAGGATATTCAGAGAAATTATGACAAACCATGAATTCCTATGGCAATAGCAGAAGTACAGTATTTTTGTAGATGGAGAGCCATTGTAGATTAGGGCAAAATGGTGAATGCAGCCAGTTAATCAGAGGTTAGAGTGTAAGTGTGGAAGGTGACATGGGAGATCAGCGCACATTAAATCCACATAAATAAGGGTAATAGAGTGTTATCCTTCTTAGTCCTGTGGAGCCCAAGCCAACCCTGATAAAAAGAGCCTCTGATGGCGGAAGACCAGCAGATTGGAGAGCGGGAAGCTATTTTTCAGGTGCAAAGAGGCCTGAGTGCTGGTTTTATTTCACTCACACGTTTGGAGTAAATTTGAAGGAAGTGAGCAGATCAGGGAAGTCAGGTTTTACCTTATTCCATACTTAATGCACATTTAATGTTCTCAAGAGGCCCTATTGTATGTCATCTGTTTATCACCAAAGGTCCCACAGACTCTTTTCTCTTATGGTTTTTACATTTTGGAAGTTTATTTATTTTTTAATCAAAAATGTTGGGATTTTTTAGTCAATCAATAATCAACTGCCAATTTGAAATTTAGATCATCATAAACCAGTCACTGTTATCACAAAGGAGAGAAAAATCAATGTTTTAGTTGGTCTGAGAAAGTTCATACAAGAAATAAATGTTTTTTATTTGCTCAGTTTCCAGAAATACAGTATAGTCTGGTTAAGCCTGATAGATTGATCATGTCCTTTTAAAATTCATCTTTAATAATAAACAATAAAGGCCCCCCTAAATAATCCTCTATAATAAAGAGCTAATATACAAATGGTCGTCGCATGCTCGCGACTTCATGCCCTTGCACCCTTGCGCCAGGGCCTGGGGACCTGAGGCCATGCCCCCTGCCCTGGTGCTGGGGCCAGGAGACCTGAGGCCAGGTTGGGGGACCTGAGACCGGGCCCCCTCCCCCGACACCAGGAACAGGAGACCTGAGGCTGCGCACCCCCCCCCACCTGGTTGGTGCTTGATGTGGGACCTGAGGCTGCGCACCCGCCCGGCGGGGCTTGACAGGTGTGGGGCCGGCCAGGTCTGGGTCTCGTGCAATTTTGAGTCGCATGTGCATGGCTGGGGACTTGACTCTGGGTCCTGAGGCGCACCCTAGACTCTGACAGGAGGGAGATTTGTTATATACATTTTACTAACTTTCTTTCATCTCTGACACTTCTATCATAAAGGGCAAATAGCAATATTAAAATATTTCCTCTAATTAATTCCCTTTTAATGTGCATGAATTTCATGCACCAGGCCACTAGTGTTAATTATATTTTAAGTCATTAATCTACAATAACAAAGAGAATAGGACATGAAACATCAGTAGTAGGTTATTTTAACAAAGTTTCAGAAGTTTTAATCCAGCTCTATCAGCTGCCAGGAGATATAAATACTGCCAAAGGCAAACATACTTTTTTCCCCCTAACTTGCTCCATTGAGGAGTAATACCTCTGGGTGATGGACTAATTTAAGGAAGATTGATGGATAAACTAGATGTACATTTTACTCAAGTTCTACTCTCTTAAATTTATATGAATATTTTGTCTTCCTGACTCTAGCAAGTGTCCAAATGTTCTATTTCCCTTGGTTCATTATTAGTTGTAGAATTTGAAACCAAATTTGTAGGCTGTCCAAACACCAGCCTAGAGTAAGATGGCAATGGAGTTTTTATTAATCAAGTGTTTTCAAACCCAAAAATTTATGCAGTATATTACACAAGAAATTTATTATTCAAAAAGTTTACTATATTCTTAGTACTTTCCCAGAATTTTCTGTTTTGTAAAATTATCCTAAAAAGTTTTCGGGGACTTCAGAGGAGTATATAAAGAGGTCAGGTTAGTATCGATTTTTATAGTTACCTATTGTTAATGACTTTCATGGTTGAGTTAACGGAATTTGATTCATCCTCATCTAGTATATCAGAACTGCTTCACTGATCTTAGAATTGATATATATTTCCTATATTTTGTCCTTGATGTACTCAGCATATAATGGCCATTAAAACAATTACAAAGGAACGCATTGCCAACCAATATACAGAATTCATTTCAACTTTTTGTTCTCACCTGACCTTAATTACCGACAATTTCACTTTGTTTTCTAGCTTCCTTTGTTGCTTCTCACTCTGTTTGTTCCTGGAATCATTCATTTACAATATATTACATTTGGGTTCTTTGTATTTCTTTTGATACATACATAGCTGCTTGGTACTATGGCAGGTGATTATTTTCCCAAAAAATGGTTTGGGTTTCTATTACCATGCAGATTACTTTTCTTAATTAAAGTGTGTAGGTTTATAAATTGGAGCTGAAAGCATTTGGCTTCTCTATGAAACTCTCTGTTCAGCTATTCATTACTTGAAGTGTTCTCTCACATTCACACTACCATTAACCGGAAGGCAAAAAATGCTTCATCTTTAGACAGGTTATATTTAGACAATGAATCCTATGAAATATGACCACTCACTATTCACTCAATGTTTGCTGAATAATAAATATGATGAGTAATACACAATCAGACAAAATATAAAAACAGGCACCATCCACTACAAATAGTATATTTCCAAATGAGTCTATGGTTTTAACAGTAGGATATAATGTTGGAATGTTCATATTATTTAAGTTTAATTTTAAGGAGTGAGATGATTAACTTTATGTTCCCTTTTAATACAATTGGTTGAATTGTATACCAACTGGACAAAAATCTTAACAAAATTTAGAAATATAAAGGTCTCTAAAATTCCTCTACTTCATAGTACCAATGCTTAGATTCCCTCCGTCCCTATAACAATGACCAACGTCACTAATTTATACCTGCACTTTCCTTGGGAACCTGGACTTTCTGAACAAAGAACTTAGGGAGCCTCACCAGAAGTCACTTGATATTATACCTATTTGCCATAATTTACTTTATCCCAATCCATTATTTTATAGGTAAAGAACTGAGGAACAAAGAAATAAATTGATTTCTGTAAGGTCATAAAAAAGTGATTCCTAAGACTGAAATAAGAACTCAAAACTCCTACTTACTAGTTCAGTATTCTTGTAAATTGATTTCTGTAAGGTCATAAAAAGTTATTCCCAAGACTGAAATAAGAACTAAAAACTCGGGGACCCTTTCCCCCTCTCCACGTGGGAGTCTTTCCCCTCCCAACGTGGGAGTCTGTACTTGTTCTTTAATAAATTTCCACCTTTGCTATAAAAAAAAAGAACTCAAAACTCCTACTTACTAGTTCAGTATTCTTTGTATGCATCAAAATCATCAAGCTGACTTCCACACCATTCCTCCCTATTCTATTGACAATTACACAGGTACACACAGCCAAGCATGGTTTTACATATATACATATATACACATACATACACACATACACACACATACGTTAAGGCTAAGGTGATAACTTAAACTCTAAGTGATTGTGAGAGCTTCCTAACCTATATATATAAAACCCTAATATGCAAATACAGTGGGGCCTTGACTTACGAGTGTCCCGACTAACGAGTTTTTCGAGATACAAGCCGTCTCTCGGCCGATTTTTTGCTTTGAGTTGCAAGCTAAAATTCGGGTTACGAGCCAGCTTCAGATACCTCACCGATAGTTGGCGCAGCGAACGTCACAGTGAACGCCACAACATCAGCCCAGCATCACGTGTCTTACTTGTTCACTTTTTGATTTGACATACGAGTAATTTGAGTTACGAGCTCCGTCATGGAACAAATTAAACTCGTAAGTCAAGGCCCCACTGTAGACCGAACAGCGGGACAACCAAACAATCAAACAACTGCTCGGTATGACATGCACTAACCACCAGGGGGCGCATGCACAGAACATAGCAGGCATCAGCAGCAGGTGGCAGAGCACGGAACATGGCGGGTGTCAGCTGCAGCACAATGGTGGAGCAGGTGAATGGGGGTTCCAGACCAAGGCAGGTGCTGGTCACCGTCATCAAGGTGAGCCTCTGGTGGTTACTGAAAGTTCTTTGCTCCCATGTGCCACAGTCCTGCCCAGCACTTTCACTTGCTGCCATTGCCGCCCCACTCGCACTCAGAACCGGCCCCAATTGCTCAGCGCCATCAGCAGGTGTGAGTGGCGCCTGCCAGCAGAAACAGGATCGGGGGCTGTGGTAGGAGCGGCCTTGTGGGGGCGTGGAGGATGGGTCGAGACCTGCCCCTGTGCCCACCGCAGCCTCATGGCTCACAGTTCTTTTTAAGGTGTGTGAATTTGTGCACTGGGCCCCTAGTATTTAATATGAGGTAAAAAACAAACAAAACCACAACATTTACATCTAAGATTTGCACACAGCTATTAGATGATTGTACTTCCTGGCGAAATGATCAAATTCAATGACAAATCATAAAGGGAGACTTTCTTTGTATTTTAATTAATCCTGCATATTACACAATTGATAATCATCACATTAAATCATTGTTAGCTCTCACCTGTGAACCAAGAGGTCATGGTTTGATTCTGGTCAGGGCACATGCCTGCCTTGCTGGCTTGATCCCCAGTGGGGGACATGCAAGAGGCAACAGATCAATGGATCAGTGATTTTCTCTCATTGATAAGTCTATCTCTCCCTCTTCCTTCCTCTCTGAAATCAATAAAAATATGTTTAAAAATCATTGTTAAACAGGAGCTATATCATTATTTCACATTCAATTGTATATTTCCAAGTTTTGAGCTTGTTTGATTGTTTTTTTTCTCCTGAAACATAAATAACAGATTTCTACCAATGTTGTACATAAGAGTGGATGTGTGTCATCTTGAAATAAATGAGGGATGATACAGTTTTAAATTTCATTTTTAATTGATATATAATTCATGTGCAATAAAATATACCCCTTTAAGGTATATAATGCAATAATTTTTACTAAGTTTGTTAAGTTTTGTTACCATCACCACTATCTAATTCCAAAAACATTTCCATCACTCCAAAAAAAATTCTATGTGCATTAGCAGTCTTTTCCTACTCTTGCTTTTCTCCTCCTTTGATAACCACTAATCTCCTTTCAGTATCCAAGTATTTACCTATTCTGCTGATTTCATATACATGGAATCATACAATATGTGTCTGTCTTCTTTCACTTGGTATAATGTTTGTGCTTATATCTTGAAATCTTTTTCTAATTTTATGATTTGTTTAGTAATTTTTATAATCATTACCTTTTATCACTCAAAGAATTTTACATAACGACATATGCTTTTAATTTTCTGGCACTTATATTTATAATAATCTCAAATTATACATGTTATGATTTTATCCTTATAGTGTGATATTCAGAAAAAAGTAGAAAAATTAAATTAAAAATATAGAAAAAAAGAAATGAAAAAAACATTTAATGTAATCAGCTCCCTTAAAAATCTTTATTTATTCTCTGGAATGGATGGAAAAATAAAATATATATATATATAATAACATATTATTAGAATATATTAATATATAGATATAATATTATATCAAATATATGTGATATTGTATGTGTATGTATACACATGTATTATAGAGAATTTTATTTTTAATTAATTGAATTGGATTATGATATCATCAAGTCACTTCTCCTTATCAAAAGATACTCTCAGTTTCCATAATATTTATGTCTTTTTCTTTTTTATGTAGACTTGTAAAGACACATTAAATAAACCACATATTAATAGGAATGGTTACAAGTCATGGCAGTGCATTTGAATTGTGAGAAAAAAATATAGGGCTAAAAGCAGTTTTATATCTCTAAAGGTTTATTTAAAGGTATTGTTAGTACATATCTAAAAGATCATGTTAGTAATGCTAATAATATGGCATCTCTTTCATAAAATTAAACATAAGTTTCATGCTTACATGCTTCATATCTAAATATGAAGAAATAATTTCATTTTAAAAATAAAATCGATCTAAATTATATTGTTCTCTCTTCTCTATTTGAAATTGTTCATTGAATTATGCCTATAACCCAAGACTATCCTAAAATTGAATCAATAAATGAAATCTCTGTATGCAAATAAGACATAAAATAGCATTTGCTTATACAACAAGACATTATTACAACAGTGTTGTGTCATCCTGTATTTTGGCTCATTGACTTGGCTCCCTGCTCACTCTCATATACACATCTGCTGACATAAGATTTATCACCCATCTTTTAATTAAATTGTTGGAGCATGATGGAGGAGTAATGATTGCAAGAATAATGATTGCATTTTATTATCTTGTTTGGCTAATTTTAGGATAGGTTTAAAACTCTTTTTGGAGATAAAACCATAATTGAAACTTAATAAATATTATAAAATTAATGCATTTTTGTTGTTATTGTTTCATAATTTTTAAATTAAATTTAATGGGATGACATTGGTTAATAAGATCATATAAGTTTCAAGTGTACATTTCTATGATGCATGATCTGTATATTGCATTGTGTGCCCACCACCTAAAGTCAGATCATCTTCCGTCACCACATATTTGACCGCCTCTACCCTTTCCTACCCCTGACCCCTCCTTCCTTCTGGTAATCACCATACTGTTGTCTGTGTTTGTAAGTTTTTTGTTTGTCTGTTTTCCTTGTTTATTCATTTTTTGATTTCAGTTTTATATCCCACATATGAGCAAAATTATTTTTTAGTAGTTGCTCTGGTGTTTACCATATTCATCATTATAACATAATCTACTCTCAAATGATAATATACCACTTCATATTGGTATAAAAATCTTACAATAGTATATTTTTTCCACCCATCCTTTGTGTTATTATTGTCATAGATTTTATTTCTATATGTGCTATAAACCCCACAATCCATCATTACTATCTTTGCTTTGAACAGTCTTTAAAAGTGATTGAAAAGTCTCAGATCTACCCTTATTTTTACCTTTTCTTATTGTGTTTTCCTTTAGTTTAGATTTAGCTTTCCATGTGGTATTTTTTTACTCTGTCTGAAGGACTTGCTTTAATATTTATTATGGAGAAGTCCTTGTGTTGGTAGTAAATTCTCTCTTAGTTTATTATTTATAAACTAGAAGCCTGATGCAGGAAGATTCGTGCAAGAATAGGCCTTCCTTCCCCTGGCTGCCAGCACGTGGTGGGCTCGCTCGCAGCGGTGCCAGTGGCAAGTCCTGTGTGCTCCAGCGCTGCTTCCTCCTCACCCTCCTTCTCCAGAGAGTTCCTCTGTGCAGCGCTAGGGCTCCCGAGGAGGTGCCGAGGGGAAAGAGGTGGGGGGAGCGAGGCAGGCGGGGAGGACTGGAGAGGTTGGGTGCGCTAGTGCGTTTCACTTTCCCATTGTGAAAGTGGGATGCAACTGGCCCCCTTCCTCATCCTCTTCCTCCTCTGCCCTCTGCCTCCTGCCCGCCCGCCCTCCCTCCACGCCCATCACCCCTCCCCTCTTGATTTGGCGAGATAAGGAGGAGGGAGATCTGATAATTTGGGTTACTGTGTAGGTGGCCTCTTTCATCTATTCAAAACAAAGCTGAGCCTCCTGCTGCTGCCACTACAGCCGCCACCAACGCCCCTTGGCTGGCCCGGGGCTCACAGGAGCTCTAACTGTGTACCGAGCGAGCTCCCACATGTGCCTGCGTTCGCACCCGTGAGGCTGCTCCAACACTAGGGTTTTGTTTACTAGAGCAGCAGGGCAGGGGTGGGGAGACCCAGACACCAGGAGCTATGACCTCAGGCACCAGAGGGTTGCCTCTGAGGCCAGGGGCTGGGCCACAGGGAGGCTGCAAGGACAGTTGACAGGTGTGGAGTGTGGCAGGGAGGTTGAGGAGGCACGCTGCCCAGAGGCCCAGAACTGGGGGCGGGGCCGCCACCATCTTTGTCAGGTTAATTTGCATACTCAATCCTGATTGGCTGTGGGTGTTGCGAAGTGATGATTAATTTACACATTTCTCTTTTATTAGTTAGATTATAGCACTATATCAGTAGTGATATAGTTGTTAAAAGGTATATATCTACCATCAAAGGCAGCTGGATGCTTATTCTAGTTTTAAATATTCCTATGCATTAAAATTATCTCATTCTTTGGCTGTCCTAGTCAATATGGAATAAAATAGTCTTGGCATGTGTTTATAGCTACTATAACTCTCGCTATACCTAGGAAAAGAAAGTAGAGCGCCTATGGGTAACAGAATTAGGAGACTGTATGATCACTGGTGGATCATAAGAATGGCCACTTCACTGATGGTGTTTTTGAACCCTCCTTCCCCAACAGTAGTACACCTAGACTTTGACAATGGATTCTTAGATTTTTATCCTTCCAATTTACCTCTTATTCTGCTATCCTTTCATCTCCTAATTTTTATCTAGTCACATGATACCTTTTTCATCATGTTTTAGATGGATTCAAATTCAACAAACACTCCCTTTCTGCAAGGCATTAGGGAAAGACCAAGAGAGAGACAAGTAGAATAAGATATGGTCTTTGTCAATAAGGATTTCTGATTTTGTAAGTAGATAGACATGTTTAAATATCTTTGACATCATGAAGACTGAGATTAATGCTACAGTAAAATTGGATTTCACTTCTAGTTGTACTTCTTAACAGCAATGTGACCTTGAACAAGACATTAAACCTCTGAAAGCCTTCATCGCCTCATTTGCAAATGAGATAGTTCATGCAAACCTCTTGGTCCAATGCCTAATATAGTTCTAAGAAAATTTTTGGCTACTCTTAGCTACTTGTTATTTAAATGCTATCTATATGTCTATGAAATAAAAGAAGTCTATAAGATGCCATGAAACATCCCTTCCTCTGCATATAACAATATTTTTACTGCATGTACATGGAAATATAAGGATTTGTAAATGATAGAGGAGATTCATTTATAAATGATAGAGGAGATCCCTTCATAATTTTTCTCATGCATTCATATTTTGCTCTACCTATTTGATTCCAGCCTGCAACCTATTATTGCCTCTACCCATAGGAAATTGCCCACAAATGATATCATTATTTTTTAATACAATGT